ACATACTTATTACATGACCTAACAAGAGTAAAAGTAAGACATGATGACTAGTTTGGACAGCCTTGCTTGATAGCGAATGCATTGAAAGTGAAGCGGGAAATGCTTCATTTTTCCACCTGGATCAAAATACTTATTATATAAGTTCTGGATTTTATGGGGGACATCTCAAGTTGGAATATTTTAAAATGTGAATGGTAGGGGATTGTGAACTTATTGATTTCTTCGCTTGGAATCATAATTCTGAATCTCTTGATGTCGAGCACTTTCTTTTCATATAGGGAGGGATTTGTTGAACTGTCTTGGACTGCGGGGAATCAAATAGATCTGTTGGGGAACTGTACATTTTTCTTTTCCCATGAGAGGACTTCAGTAATGGTGAATCTTAAATAGGTATAAAACTTGATAAAACTTATAATTGAACATAGAAAACTTGTAGGGCAAGAGACCATGAATTCTAGGGCTAATACTGGATCTTGGAGACTAGAGACATTGATTCGGAAAACTAGAACACAAAATCTTGTTGTATTTGGAGGACGAACTAGGTTTGGCTTTTCTCTAGATTGGATTGGAAGAGAGGATTTTTTTGATCGCTGTACAGAATGGTTGGCAAGAAATGGATTGTAGTGCTGTATTCCTTCTACATGGGGAAACTAATCACATGCCATCTGTTGAGGTTTTCATTTTCTTTTACTGGTGAGAAATCTACAAGTTGAAGAGGAACTTTCTGGGATTGAGAACATGATGGTTTAGAGAGTATCTGCAATGCTTGCTGGCAGAGAACCGTGCTAAGAACAAAGATTAAACATTTTTTTTATTTTTTATTTCTGAAAACTGGGTGTCAAAGGCATTGGACTAGGATATTTCTAGAGTAAGCGAGTTTGTACAATGGCTTGGAGGATTTTGTGATGGGAAATAAAGTAATGGTTCAGGGTGGACCAAATTATTAGGATAGATCCTATGTAGATCTGGAAGGATTCTGTCGAATCAACTGATTCCTTAGGGGTTTTTGGTTAAGAAAGGCTAGCAATCAGGAAATCAGATTCTGGAAAGGAAGTCTCTAGTTCAGTTATGAGAGAATCAAGAAATTCTAGGTCTGTGGAAGTGGATTCTAGTTCCGAGGCAAATGGGAGTTTGGGGATAAGTTCTTTCTGTATTAGGGATTGGTTCAAGTTGAACTTTTAGTGCGCAAGAGTTTGGGTTTATGTTTTCTAGTTCTGTGTCATAAATGGGTAAATCTTCTAGCTCAGAGATGGTTGGAGTGGTCAGGGAAATCTTGGAGAGTTTTCCAATGAAGTTACGAGTATCATCATAGGGGAAACTTTCAGGAGCTCCAGTGAATTGTGACTGAAGAGAAACATCAGAAATCACTTCAGTGGGGTGTGATTCTGATAGAGCATCAGGGATGTTTTAAGTAGGCTGTACCTCTGGCAGATGAGGGAGAGTCACAAAACCATTGAGTCCTTTAAAAGTTTTAGTGGAGGATCCAGGGGAGGAGGAGAAATACATTCCTTTCTCCATTTGTTGGCGTATGAGCTTTTTCTAAAATATCTAGTTGGATAGTTGTTAGGGGAGAGACATGGTAGATTTGAAGTTTGTGGATCAGCAATAAAGAGAGCAGCTTGTTTGCACTCCTTTCTCCATTTTTGGAGATACTGCTTCTTTGTCTGCGTTGGTTGTCTCCTGGGAACATCATTTGGAATTTCATCTGGGCTGGTTTTACTATTGTCGTCCCATCCAGTAGGAAGAGGAGCAGGAAGATCTGATGAAGAAGGACTGGAATATTTGACTATGAAGTCATATTTTCTTGATGGTTCACCAGGGTATCAAAAGATTTATCACCAACTTCATAGTGGGAGTAAAAGGGATCTTTTTCTTTTTTCTTTTTGAAGAGGAAGTTAAAAAGGGCTAGTAGAGTTTCTGGGAGGAGGAGGGTCATTAGAGTCATGAAGGACTCTGGCAGAAGATCTGCAAAAAGTGAACACAAATCTGGAGTCCTCATCTTCTGTACTATGTTTTACAGGCAGAACACTGATAGGTTACGTCAAAAGGATTATGCACAGAATGATTTATCATAAGGTAATGCATCTGACAAACTGAGCAAGGATGTTGAAGGTCATAGTAATGACAAGTAGGATTATATGGATGGATAGTATGGACAAAAGATGGACAAGTGTAGTTTTGACTAAGATCAACTAGAACAAAGATATGATTTGGGTTTTTGACATGTTTTCTAGATTTTCTAGTCGTTCCTTCAAGGAAAAATCTGACTTAATATAGTGCATATAAACAACTACTCATACGGAACACTATTCTGGCCAAAGATTCAGAATGAACCAAACCTCATTGTTTATTAGCACCAAATACAAGAACAACATCTGAACATGGCTCTGATACTAGATGAGGGGGCGGGAGGGTTTTACTCCCTAGTATAGTCTTAGACCCAGCGCCAAATTTGCCATTTTTGCCACTCCCATGGGCTCTTCTCTTGGCGGGAACCTGGCTGTTCTAAGGACTCTTCTAGGCAAGCTTACCCACCCCTGTTCGGATCACCAGTCTATAATTTCAATTTTTCTGATGCAGAGGATTCTCATGGAGTGGCAACTGCAGAGCATACTTCACTTAGTTATTTGCCAAGAAAGGGGGGCAACATCATTACAACACACACTGGAAAGCATAAAGAGACACAACACTTTTTCCCAAGTTGTTTGGGCAGCTTTTGAGTCGTACAACAAGACAAACATTTTTTTACAAAAAGTAAATAGTACAAAAGACACATTAGACAAAAGACTTTGTTGTGAAGTGACACGAGCATTATCTTCTGTCTGGTGGAAAAGTGAAAATCATCATAGGGCCACATTTGTAGCATGGTTCAAGTGGTTCATGTAGAATCATTGTCTATTGTGGGATCTGACTAAGGAGCTAGACGGTTTGGATGGTATGGATCAATTGGGTATCCAAGCTGTTTCCACCAAGGGTTTGAGGTGGGTAGTAATCTGGATCATCTAGATCATTGAGGTCTATGGAATCTAAGTCATCTTCAAGAGGTTGGGAATATCCTGGGAGCTGTGAGTTATGAATTCTTGGAGGATATCTTGAAGGTTGAGACTAAGACTGAGAAGTCATTGGAGCTTTCCTTTGTCTTTGTTTGATTGAGGAGCTGGAGCTGAAAGGGGAGGTGGTTGGTGCTGGAGCTGAGACTTTTGATAAATCTGTAAATCAATGTTAATGCCTGTTTGATAGTCACAGAAAAGGATTCCCAAGGGACTTCATCTTGGATTGCCGGCCAAATTTCTTTAGGAATGACAGCATTGAGTTCAAACATTTTCTTTTGAAGTTCACGATATTCAACAGGGTAGGTTTCCCAATCATGAGAGATACGATAGGCAAGCAAGCATTGTAAATACGACAATTATTAACTTGGCAAATTTGTTTGCGAACAACAAGACTAGACCTTTGAAATACAACAGAAAGGTATCGAGGAAGGTGAAGATATGCGGGATTGGAATAGCAGAACTGACCATTTCAATCCAGTGAGGGATGGTGTGAAACTAGGTGAGGAATAAGTAAAAAGGATCACTTGAGGAGGGAGATTGTAACCATGACAATAGAGTATTTATGGGAAAAATCATACAAAAAGAAAACAATTCTAATAAATACCAAAAGAATATAACTGGTTGATAGAAAAAGGTTTTCCATTATTTCACTAAAAAATGGACGCAAAAGGATAATCAGGGTGAATTAGATAACCAGAGAAGAAGGGACCTTGAATTTGCAGTATTTGAGACTGGTAAAACAACAATTTTTGCCTTAGAAAGTCTTTTTCTTTTTGGGACTGGTATGGATGTCATGCCATTCAGGAGGAGGGAGTTTAATGGAATTGACCATAGAAATAACAGAAATTTCAGGGGCAATGGGTATGGAAAGGAAATCAGCAAGTGTGTTTTCTTTGCCTAGGATATATTGAACAGCGAAATCAAATTGAGAAAACCATTCTTTCAAACGGAGAAGTTGGGGAGGGGAAACAATTTTATTTTTGAAATTCATCATTTGTGAAAAGCCTTTCATATCACTTTGTACAATGAATCGATGTCCAATAAGGTGAAAGTGAAAATTTTCAATTCCTTTTTTTAATAGCAATTATCTCTTTTAAGGTGGAATGGTAATGGATTTTTGAGTCTTTGAATCTACTACCTTTGTAACCACAAACACGAGTTTTTCCATCTTTCTATTCAAGGAGAATGGCACCCCAGTAGGTGTCATTGGCATCTATTTGTAGGATGCGGCTTCTATCAGAGGGAATTTGTGAGGAAGGTAAATGTGGGATGAGCTGTTTGACTTTCTGGATGGCTTGGGTTGTTGGGAAAGACCATGACCAATATGAGCTCGAAGCTCCTTTCATAACTCTCAGAACTTCTTCGTAGTGGCTCCTTTCCATGCCTCATTTTATAGGAAACCACAAAGTGGCTCTATTTCAATATATTCCATCCATATCCCAATTCCATTCATTTTATATCCCTTTGGTGTCATTGACATAACAGATGTCATTTCTAGTCTATCTCTTTTATACGGAAAGTGAAAAAATCATCATATAATAATCCAGAAATTGGAATAGAAAAGAAAAGGGGAGGTTTGTGATGCTTTTAAAATCTTTTCTACTAGGTAATCTAGTATCCTTATGCATGAATATAATCAATTCGGTCATTGTGGTCAGACTCTATTATGGATTTCTGACCACATTCTCCGTAGGGCCCTCTTATCTTCCTTCTCCAAGCTCAGGTTATGGAAGAAGGAGAAGAAGGAACGAGAGGAAGGTATCAGCAACAATTGGTTTTATTACGGGATAGCCCATGATGTTGATATCGATCTATCATGCACCTCTACATCTAACATTGGGTAGACCTCATACAATAATTGTCCTAGCTGTACCCTATCTTTTGTTTCATTTCGTCTGGAACAATCACAAACACTTTTTTGATTATGGATTTACTACCAGAAATTCAATGCGTAATCTCAGCATTCAATGTGTATTCTTGAATAATCTCATTTTTCAATTATTCAACCATTTCATTTTACCAAGTTCGATGTTAGCCAGATTAGTCAACATTTCTATGTTTCGATGCAACAACAAGATGTTATTTGTAACAAGTAGTTTTGTTGGTTGGTTAATTGGTCACATTTTATTCATGAAATGGCTTGGATTGGTATTAGTCTGGATACGGCAAAATCATTCTATTAGATCAAATGTACTTTTTCAATCAAATAAGTACCTTGTCTCAAAATTGAGAAATTCTATGGCTTGGACCTTTATCTTTAGTATTCTCATATTTATTACCTGTGTTTACTATTTAGGCAGAATACCGTCACCTATTCTTACTAAGAAACTGAAAGAAACCTTAGAAAGGGAAGAAAGGGCAAAAAGTGAGGAAGAAAGAGAAGTAGAAATGGAAACAACTTACGAAATGAAGGGGACTAAACAAGAACAAGAGGGATCCACCAAAGAAGATCCTTCTCCTTCCCTTTTTCCGGAAGAAAAGAGGATGCAGACAAAATCGATGAAACGAAAGAGATCTGAGTGAATGGAAAGGAAGATGAATTCCACTTTCACTTTAAAGAGACATGCTATAAAAATAGCCCAATTTATGAAGCTTCTTATTTGGATGGGAATCAAGAAAATTTGAAGTTAAAAAATAAAGACCTCTTACTCTTACTCAAAAACTCAAAACAAAAAACAAAAAATAGTAAAATAAAAGTAGTAAATTAATAAAAAAAATTGATACATAAGATAAATATAAGAAAAAGATAAGAAGAGATGCGTCCACGCCCTACATATTTGATGCCCTCTTACACAAAGAAACTCATAACACCAACTCCATTCGTAATTCCATCAATTACTTGTCTATCAAAAAAATGCGTTAATTCAACCAATCCTCTTATCCTACTAGTTAAGAATGTTGCATAAAAAGCATCTATGTAACCATGATTATATGACCAATCATATATAACATTTATTATTTTATCCACCAAAATTCTTTTTGAACCTCTTTTAACAAATGAATTAATTAAGTCAAAATTTTGAAAAGATGAAGAAACAGGTTTATACCAGAATGGTTGGCAGGAATTGGATTGTAGTGTTGTATTCCTTCTGTACGCAAAAAGTAATCACATGCTGTCTATTGAGGTTTTTCTTTTTTCTTTCTGTGGTGAGAAATCTGCAAGTTGAAGAGGAACTTTCTGGGATTGAGAACATGATGGTGCAGAGAGTATCTACAACACTTGCTGGCAAGAGAACTATGCTAAGAACAAAGATTAAACATTTTTTAGATTTTTTATTTTCTGAAAACTGGATGTTAAAGGCATTGGACTGGGATTTTTCTAGAGTAAGCGAGTTTGTACAATGGCTTGGAGGATTTTGTGCTGGGAATTAGGTAATGGTTAGGGTGGACCAAATTTATTAGGATAGATCCTATGTAGATCTGGAAGGATTCTGTCAAATCAACTAATTCTTTAGGGGTTTCTAGTTCAGAAGGGCTAGCAATCAAGGAATCAGATTGTAGAGAGGAAGTCGTTGGTTCAGTTATGAGAGAATCAAGAAATTCTAGGTTTGTGGAAAAGGATTCTAGTTCTGGGGCAAATGGGAGTTCAGGGATAAGTTCTTCTGTATTAGGGATTGGTTCAGGTTGAACTTTCATTGAGCAAGAATCTGGTTTATGTCTTCAAGTTTTGTGTCATAAATGGGTAATCTCCATTTGTTGGCGTGTGAGTTTTTTTTTTCTAAAATATCCAATTGGATAGTTGTCAGGGGGAGAACATGGTAGATTTGAAGTTTGCAAATCAAAAACAGAAAGAGTAGCTTGTTTGCACTCCTTTCTCCATTTTTGGATACTACTTCTTTGTATGCGTTGGCCATCTCTTAGGAACATCATTTGGAATTTCATCTGGCCTGGTTTTACTATTGTCATCCCACCATAGGAGGGAGTAGTAGAAGATTTGATGAAGGTGGACTAGAATATTTGACTATAAAGTCATATTTTCCTAATGGTTCACCAAGGGTATCAAAAGACTTATCACTAGCTTCATAGCAGGAGTAAAAGGATCTTTTTTCTTTTTCTTTTTGAAGAGGAAGTTAGAGAAGGGCTAGGAGGGTTTCTGGGAGGAGGAGGGTCATCAGAGTCATGAAGAACTCTAGTAGAAGATCTGCAAGTAGTGAACACAGATCTAGAGTCTTCATCTTCTGTACTATCAGTTTTACAAGCAAAACACCGACAGGTCACATCAAAAAGATTATGCACAGAATGATTGATCATAAGGTAATGCATCTGACAAACTGAGCATGGATGTTGAAGGTCATAGTAATGACAAGTAGGATTATATGGATGGATAATATCGACATAAAATGGATAAGTACAGTTTTGACTGAGATCAACTGGACAAAGATATGATGACCATAAGAAGTATGTCTAATTCTAATACTACTATAGGATTTGGGTTTTCAGACATGTTTTCTAGATTTTCTGGTAGTTTTATCATCCTTCAAGGAGAAATCTGACTTAATAGGAGTCTTAGTACATATAAACAACTATTCACACGGAACACTATTCTGGCCAAAGATTTAGAATGAACCAATCTTATTGTTTATTAGCTTGTCTGTACTAGGGAGTGAAACCCTCTCGCACCTCATCTGGTATCAAAGCCATGTTCAGATGTTGTTCCTGTATTTGGTGTTAATAAATAATAAGATTTGGTTCATTCTGAATCTTTGGCTAGAATAGTGTTCCGTGCGAATAGTTGTTTATATGCACTAAGACTCATATTAAGTTAGATTTTTCCTTAAAAGATGATAAAACTACTAGAAAATCTAGAAAACATGATTGAAAAACCAGTTATTCCTGTTCCCAAGCGTCTCTCTCGTTCTGATCCTCTCTCTTCTTCCTCTTCTCTTCGATGACTTTCTTCCTCCAAATTAGACAGCCTTTATGAAATTAATTGTCTCCCTGAAGACGAAAAATTCTCCCTTGAGGATTTTCCTACTATCAATCCATACATTGCTTTTGCTACCCGCACACGACAGTCTCTCTCTAGAACTATCAAAACCCTCATTTCTCCTAAAAAGTCCCTAATAAAAGGAATATATGTCCAAGCCACCAGCTTCGACAAGCACTATTTTCCTGCTGCCCAGATGGAACATTTTCTTCTTGTTGAAATCCCATCTCATTTCCCCTCTCTCTAGTTACAACAAGGCTATGCCCACCTTCATTGGGGCGCTACGGGAATTGAACTCTATGAGATCGAATATTCTGTTGTTCCTCAGTAGCTTAGTGGTAGAGTGGTTGGCTATTAATTGATTGGTCGTCGGTTCGAATCCTACTTTGGGAGATTTGATTCATTCTGAATTAAAGAATTTAGAATGAAAGAGCTCACTTTGACCGTTAAGAGTAGGTAACCCCCTCCCCGTTTTGTTTCTATTGCATTCTATCTCATCGTATCATATTATGTTTTGCGATATTTGAGAATCACCGTCAATTCCTCAGTGTAGGTCTGGGATAATCCTTTGTTCCATAGACCTGGGGCTATTTACAACTAGTCAATTAAGAATTCTTAGATGTACTAGTACTAGTAGTGCATCAAAGATGCAATCATCAATTCTCCCGAGAGGCCACAATTACTGTGAGCAACATATTAATGACGAATAAGGCTTTTTTGTTATTCTACAATACTTGTATTTGCTCTGCTATTCTGCCCAAGCTTGGTTGAGGAAGAGTTACGGGGCGAACAGAAAAATCCTCTCCTGCAATCCAGTCCAGAGAAAAGCCAAACCCAGTTCATCCTCTAGATACAACAAGATTTAATGTTCCAGTTTCTAGAATCACTGTCTCCAGTCTCCAAGTTCTAGTATCAGCCCCAGAATTCATGGTCTCTTCCTTTACAAGTTTTCTATGTTCAATTATAAGTTTTATCAGGTTTTATTCCTATTTAACATTCACCATTACTGAAGTCCTCTCATGGGAAAAGAAAATGTACAGTTCCCTAGTAGATCCATTTGATTCCCCACAGTCCAAGACAGTTCAAGAAAGCCCTCCTCTATATGAAAAGAAACTGCCCAACATCAAGAGATTCAGAATTATGATTCCAAGCAAAGAAATCAACAAGTTCACAATCCCCTGCCATTCACATTCCAAAATATTCCAGCTCATGATGTCCCCCATAAAAATCCAAAACTCACAGAACAAGTATTTTGATCCAGGTGGAAAAATAAAGCATTTCCCACCTCACTTTCAATGCATTTGCTATAAAGAAAGTTTGTCCAAACTAGTCATCATGTCTTACTTTTACTTTTGTCATGTCATGTAATAAGTATGTCTCTTCTTTTCTAAAAGCTATGGTGTGATGTTTGCCTTTAGAAAAGTCAAAAAGTCTCTTGTCCTCTTATGAGAGTTGTAAAGTTATTTGTCCTATAATGGGAAAACGTTTTTCCCATTGTGTAAAAGTCAATCTTGTTGAGGAAACGTAGATTCCTCCTGTCTGTTTAATTATTGTCCCAGCTTTCCTTCCATCTATATAAGGGAAGCTCTCTCAGTTGTATTCTCAAGCTTAGGTTAGCTCAAAAAAAGCTTCGGCTGGCAGAAATAAACCTATGTGTTTTATCCTAGCTATGTTATTCTAAACCTCTTCTCCTTCTGGCAGTCTAAACTCCAAATGGGAAAGAAATGAATTCATATGAGTCTTGGCAAATAGCTAAGTGACGTATGCTCTGTAGTTGCCTTTCCGTGAGGATCTTCTGCATCAGAAAAATTGCAGTTATAGACTAGTGATCCGAATAAGAGTGGGGTAAGCTTGCCTAGAAGAGTCCTTAGAACAGCCAAGTTCCCGCCAAGAGAATAGCTCATGGGAGTGGCAAAAATGGCAAATATGGCGTTGGGTCTAAGGTTGTACTAGGGAGTGAAACCCTCCCACCCTTAACTTGTTAACAAAAGTATACAATTCATTAATTGCTGCATCAACTAGTCAACAAGAGCATTAATTGTTGTAATTAATAATGCATAGCATTAATTACACCTCTTTTGTAGTATTTAAACCAGGTGGCTCATAATCTTCTCTTGGTGTTCTTAACCCCTTGATTTAATGCAAACTAACAATGTTTTAGACTCTTGGAGTTGTTTTGCTCTTGAACAAGTGATTGATCCAATAATAACATTGGACAGTTCGTCTTATGCTCAATTCATATCATTTTCCCTGAGTTGTAAAGGATTTGTCTTATAGCATTTCTCCTGATTGGGAAACATATCCAGTGGAATATAGAGAGCTCTAGAGAAAAATGTTTGAACTCAACTCTGTCATTCCAAAAGAAATTTGGCCTTCAATCCAAGATAAAGTTCTATGGGAATCCTTCTCCAAAGACTACTAGTGCATCAGTGATACTGATCTCCAAATTTACAATGAATCACATGCTCATCAACTACCAGAACAGGATCTAGATCCAGACCCAGTCCTAGACCTAGCTTTTTCAGCAAAAGACAAAGAAAAGACTCCAGAAGACTCTTCCTCCTCGCAGTCTCAACAATAGTCATATATTTCCATG